ACAGATCATCATGTTGTTCTGTGCTCGTTGCTGAGACAAAGTTTTTTGTTGGCACAAGCACTTTGCCATTATGTCTATATCTAGATCAGTGGTTAGCTAGATTTTTGAGCTGCCTCAACACGACCTTCTCTGCAAACTTTATTTTGCAAAGTTATAATTGTCCAGACTGCAAGCTTCAAGCATTAACTTTTTGAGCTTTGTCTTGTCTTGCTTCTATTGTGAGTGACTGCAGTATCCTTCACTAGGTAAGGATAGGTACAATCCTTGGGTTTCCATAACTGCACATCACAAGTGTAGGCCCATTTCTGAGTAATGGAAATACCAAATGTTCTCCAGCTGGGCATGAGATCTCTATATGGAACTTAAGCATTTAATGGTAAAGGGAATAGGTCTGAGCATCCCTTTCTGGGCAGAGGAATAGTGGGGCTCAACTGGGGTTGGGACCTCCTGGCCTTGGAAGCCTGACCATCTGCACCCTCACCCCCCCCCCCCCCCCCCTCCACCCCAACTCCTCTGCAGGCAATGAACTCTCTGGGTGAGTTGTGTCAGACTGAAAACCCTGGAAAGTCAGGATAGTGGAAGCAGGAGCTAATGGGCCTTGCATGTTTTTATCTCCATGTCAAGCCTTTTATCTTCAGTTTCCTGATGATTTGATTTCCCATCTGTGCAGTGCAGAGCTGCAGGCAGGCTGGCAGGAGCCTGGGCATGGTTCCAGTGCAAGATAGGTTTCCACGGTATTTGGCTTTTTACAATTGCTAAATGCTTTGATTTTGATGAATTGGCATTTTCCTATGGAAAAACATGCCTTTGGAGACTTTCCAGTCAGAATGTAACCAAGTTTCAGCATATTGCAAAATTCCTCCAGATGAGGATTTATTGTGTAGCTATATTTTTAGTAATTTTACCCTTCGCTGTTTTCTTTGTATCTTAACAAATAGAAACAAATGCAAATATCATTATTATATATGTTGTAATGAGGTTGTCTATTTTTGCCTACGGAAAAAGGATATAAGTATAGACCCTTAAATACAATACCTGGAAAGTAGGTAAAATTCTTCAGAAGCCCTATGTAATGAAATAGTGAATTTTCAAACCTAGTTTTGCAGTGGAGCAATATGAGACGTCATGAAACATAAAATTAGATTAAATAATTCAGTATTTGCTTAGTAATTTCCTTCTAAAGCAGACTTAGCACATCTTAATGGAATTCATAACTTTGAGCAGACGTTTGTGAACATGTGTTTATATTCAGTGTTGGTTGATTCTTACTTTATGGACCAAAACACAGCCAGGGCTGCTGGGAGAATCTAATGGTAAATCAGTGCATGTGAGCAACACTCAGAGTGGCAAATGCAGCCCTTCTCTGTGCCTCTATGAACACAGTAAATGTGAACCAACCATCATTTTGGGCTTGTAACCACAGGATGGCAGATAGGCACTCACCAGGGAAACTCGTATCTTTACTTCTGCAAGAAACTCATTCCCTTAAAATGAGTTATGTGAAGTAGCTAGTGCAGGCCCTTTCTCTTTATTGTGCTACAGTTTAATGTTTTTGAAAACCCCTCCTCCTACCGCATTTGTACAGAGTCTAGAATTCAAACCACAGCTCATCATTTTGTGTTAAGGTGAGGTATAGTAAATGAAGGGCCACTCAGATGAGTTGCATCAACATAAATACAGAATGCATCTTCACCTTCTCAAGCAGCTAAGTTGCCATATGAACACCATATGGGGCTGCAAGTCTGCTGAGTGTGTTTTCCAGAAATGTGAGACCGCCTCATACCCTCTCCAACCAGCAGCCTCTGGAAAAAGGAAAAGAAATGCTTTGTAATATTTAAGGTTCTGAGTATGATATCTTTTATGTTGGTTTTTTGTTTGCTTGTTTTAACCACGTGTATGTGCAGTGTAGCAAGCAACTTCTCTAAATGTTTCCAATGTGTGTAGCTGTGGTGTGTTTGTGATCACCTGCTTCTCAGGGCCAGGACTGAGCTGCATTCACCCCACATAAGCAATCAGCCAAACTGCTTTCCTGCAAGAACTTTAAGTAAATTTATGATTTGATTTTATCCAATGTAATTGAAATTTTGGCTTATATTTTGAGTGCAGCTGGCCTTATGTAAAGCTTCAATGGATGTGTTGAACCTGGGTCAGCTGAGCTGCTTTCAGATGATTTAATGCTGACATCTGCTGTTATCAGGATCATAACTTGTGATCAGCTGCCAGTGCTTCCATATATTTCAGAAAAATTATATTTCTCAGAGGGGAAAGTTAAGTTTATGTTTGCATAGTAGATAACTAAATAGGGAGGATTTTGTTTTCTTTTGTATGTATATCTATTTGTTAAACACAATCTTTAGAAAGAGTCTTGGTTTCTGAAGCTAATGAAGCAGTTTATTAATAATAGACATTGTTCAAAAAAAAAAAATAAAAATAACAACAGACTTTGTCAGCAAGCTTCTGCTTCTAGCACTATCCTAGGCCAAGCCATTCTGAATTTGGTCCAAAATCAGCTGTTTTTTTTTTTTTTCTTCAGATCAGAATGGGCAAAGAATGATCTTTAAATACCAGCTGCATCTTCCCAGCTGTTTGTGACTGCTTCAATCCTATACTTAAATTACAGATGATCAAAACCATTGATGATTAGTATTCCATATGAGTGTTCGAAGTCCCAGTGCTGCCATGTGTGAAATGAGCTGGTGTACAGAGCAGCTGAAAAATAATCCCAGCTTTAACTCTCTGCTCTGTCCCTGATGGGATGAAAAAATCTAAGGAGAAGGTGAACATCCTTATACTGTATTTTGCCTTGTTTTAATAATAGATTTTCATTTATGAAGTCAGCTACCATTAAGAATATTGACCTGTAATACAGCAAAAGCTATCTGGGAACTCAAATGTTTCTGAAAGTGGAATGCAAATGCTGCTTACAGCCATGGTTCATCCTCATCTTTAATGTTATATCATGCTAGCAAAACATTTATAGTGTGAGAGATGTGTGAGTCCAAGTATTACGCTAGTAGTTTAAACTAAAGACATGCCAGAATTTTCTGTGGTGTCCTCTGATGTGTATATATAGTGGAGTGAACAACAAAGAGGAAATGTGAGTGTTGCAAATCAAGCTCTTGCTCAACCCACAATCAGTATTCAGGAGAAAGCTTACACAGCTGCTTCTCAGCAACTGCTAATAATAAAGTACCCTCTTACCTTCTTGTACATAATGGCAGTATTCTTACCTAGGTGACCCACAGGACTTGACTGTCAACATCCAGGTGAAAGTTCTGCATCTTTATTTTCCTAGGTATGAATTTTACTACTCTCTTTGACTTCAAATTTTGAGATTTTAAACAATGTTTGCTTACTTGAGGTTCAGTGTATTGGAGACCATCACCTTTGGCTCGGACCCCTTCTGTTGTGAGGATGCTATGAGTTGGCTGGAGTATAGGGTGGCTCTCAACATGGAGCTGGGATGCAGCCAACTGGGAAACTAGGAGTGCTCCTGGATGCCCAGCCCAGAAAAACCTGGCATATACTCTTCTACTTTTGTTCAGCAATGACTGAACCATGACTGTTTGCTCCAGGAAAGAGGGTCTGATAGTCAGTTCATAGAACCACGGAATTGTTTGAGTTGAATGGGACTTCAAGCTCATCTAGTCCGACTGTCCTGCAATGAACAGGGACATCTACAGCTTGATCAGGGTGCTCAGAGCCCCATACAGACAGATCTTGTTCTTAATTCTGTTTGTTTGTTTGTTTGTTTAAATTAAAGTAAATAGATTCCATGATTTTTAAAGCTCAAGCCTTGCAGGAAATTTGTTCTGTTTTGGGCTGGATTCAGCTGGGGAGGAGTCCTTTTTAAGCAGAGGAAAAATTTCTGCAGAGATGGAAAGCCATAGGGAAATGACAGATTTAAAAGTCATCTAAATCTTCCATACCCTTGTAAAACTTGTCATTTTATTGTTTCTCATTTGAAAAAGAATTGTAACAAGAAGTTCTCAGGTTATACCAAGTCCAAGCAAGTACATAACTTGCAAAGTAAGATGTTCACATGAGAACCAGAGTCACTTTCAACTGCAATGCAGAACTCAATCCAAATCCTTTTTAAGCTTTTAAAGAATTATTATCACTTCCACAGATTCCATTCTGTTTGCTGTTCAATCTTGTGTAACGTGCAAGTAAATTAATTCATCACAAGTCTGTAATGTTTTCTGTTTATGTGCCTATATTTAGCCTGCTTTATTTGTCAAGGGTGATTGTGATTCATTCAGCTGCTGGCAAGTAGGCAGAGCCCTATGTACTTTTTGCAGTGTGCCAGAGCACTGAAACACAGAAAACCAAATGATCGGGCTGAAATTGTTCAGTTACTGGCATTTTCACAATGAAGACCACTTCTTATCCACTGTGTAGTTCTTCATTGCTTCAAGGATAAGAATCTTGTCCAAACAAGATTTCATGTTGCATCATCTGATCTATGTAATAACAATCTGAAGGCAGTCTTGAAATCCAATTTAGACTAATTTATGACTGTTTTTACCTCTTTTTTTTTTCCTTCCTTATCTCTTTAGTTGAAAAACCTGGTTTCTTTGGAAAATCCCATCTACAAAATCTCAAGTAATAATAAAACAAAAAAAAAAATATATTAAAAAAACAAAAACAAAAAACACCACAAAACAATGACAGTTGTTGTCACCCTCAGTTAAATAGAAAAAACTGGAAAAAAAAATCAAAAACAGAAACAATTAAAGCCTGAAATGTCATTGTGAGCTGTGGCTGAAGTTCTTTCTGTCTTTTTGCCTCATGGCCAGTTGCCTTTGGGTTGTCAATCCTGGAATGGGGCCTGGGGTGGGATGGGACCCGGAGTGCACCCACACAAACAGGGGCTCTGCACTGTAAGGGAGGAACAGCTCTGGACTTAGGAGTGCATGTGGGACTATAGGTACTAAATGTATTTCTGATTATGTGAAACATTTCATTGACTATAGAAACTTTTTCCTGTTTCAGCAATGAGGAAGAAAATGGAGGAACGGGGGGGGAACCTCTTTAAGGAGGAAGAAGTGGTGGCGATCAAATACCTGATGTTGGATGTAAGAGTAACACAGCAAGTGTGCAACCTATAACTCAGGTGTATTATCTCATGCCTTCACTTGCTGCTTAACCATGTGTCTTTTTCTATTCTCTCTCTTTTTTTTTTTTTTCTTTCCTAAATAAATTGGTTGCTGTCATCTTCTAAAAGTTTCCTACTGTCTGAGCTGCTGCTATACTTCACTATCATACTTGGATAATCTTTTTCATGTTTCCTGTACATTTATTTTGTCTCTTCTAATTCTGTCCTTCAGTTCTACTCTGTCACTTGAGGACTTGCTGCCTTACCTCTTCCAAACTCTTTCAGGATTGTCCACACTTTCATAGTACTTTCTTTCTTCCTCTTATGGGGGGGGGGGGAGGGGGGGAAGTGAAGGGGGGAAAGAAAGTTTAATCACAACATCAGTTCCCCTCAAGTCACTAAACTGCAGGAATTGTGTGTTCTGGTTATATACAGTTGGACTGATCTAGTATTTTTCAGTGACTCTGAATCCACTTGACTGAAGGCTTCTTTCACTAGAGACAAAATTCTTTTTTTGAGCTGTAGCTAGAACAAGCTGTTTGATCCAATGATGGGAAACAGTTGATTCTGATCTTGACCTCTATAGTTTTGGTTGAATGTTGAGTCATGAGCATGTATTTTTCCCGTCAGCAATCAGTGCAGTTACAGTTAATTAAATATATAGTGTTCTCTTAGACAAGCCTAGATGTTGGCATGAGAGCTTAAACAGTTCATAGTAAAATTGCTTATCTGCATGAATAAAACACTTCTCTGTCACTGTTCCTACATAATGGACAACTAGGATAAGCATCTCACTTTAACTATTGGTTCCTGGCTCTGGCTAATGGCCATGTGCCTCCTCCATCTAACTGCTGTAGGAACAGACAGCTCATCTCTTCTGTGGCAGCCAAATGTGGAACACTCAGTATGGAGGAACAGCGAAATTCTACCCTTTCTTTCTTTTTGTTTTGTTTAAGCAATGACAACTTTAAAAGTATGCAGCACAGTTAGACGTGCACATCAAGAATAGGATGTGGTCCACCTGTCATACAGTTCATGCTGAGGCTTTGCTTAGCAGGACTTTATTTATTAGCAGCTTTCTTATTTCATTTTCTTCCTACGCTTGAAGCTGGAGTGTTCTGCTGACTCACTGGGGGTTTGAAACGTGTGGTGCAAGTTGTACACAGATGAGGAAAAAAATCAGCCTTGTTTGAATAGCCATTCTTGATAGGATTGGGCAAGCTTCTTCAGTTCACAAAAGTTACTGTATAACTTTGCTTAATACCCATTAGGTGAAACTGGAGAACAACTTTTCTTTAGAAGCACTTTTGGAGAGAGATCCAGTAGTGTCTGGATTATTTTCTGCCATCAAAATGCACACTAGAAACTCTCTTATGTACAAATGGTAGGATTGAAGTGAAGTGTTTGACTGAAACTTGAACCTTTGTCTTATGAATCCTCAAATCTATCTGTCATTGAATTTTTTGTGCTTGCTAATACCAGTAAGTGTTGGTAGAAAAGTTGAAAATGGATTTCAGCTGGCCTATGGTTTGCTAGAGGAGCACAACTTCCTCTAGCAACAATAACTTCCAACAATACAAGAGAGAAATCTCACTTTTTTTTTTTGTTTTGTTGGTATGCAATTATTGGGAAAGCAATGCCCCGAGAATTATATAAAGGACACTGAGAAGAGTTTTTTGTTGGGTTTTTTTTCTTCCCTGTCCCTTTCAGAAGGAAAACAAAGAAACAATGATCATGCAGTATTAAGTCTAGCCTTAAATGAAGAATTTTTGTGTCACCAAGCAGACTGCCTGAGAGCTTAACAGTTTGCAGGAACTTGCAACAACAAAGCCTCCTTTTGCTGACAGACCTTTGATAAGATACATGGAAACAGTTTGAAAGATGTTACAGAGCATATGATGAACAGGACTTAACAGTGGTTACGGGGATCTGGTGGCACACCACTGAGGTATCCATACACATCTTGATTTCTCTAACAATTCAAACCCAGCCTTATCAGTTTTTTCTTGGGGACTTCACTAGCCAAGACTTCTTGAGCGCCTAATAAGAAACATTAGGCAGCCTTCACAATGCTGTTGGGAACGTCTCAGCCTCCTGTGAGAATGCAGAGGTACATAGCTTTACAAGCTGAGCCATGTTTGTGCTTCTTTCTCAGAGAGGCCTTTCCTTAAAGAAAGAAATTACGTGCCTAACTGCACTGAGGGTCTGCTTTCCGTTTTCCTCTTTTCTTTGAGATGCGTTCAGAACTTCTAAGGCTCTGTTTGTTGTTTTCTCTGATGGAAATTACTCAGCAGAGAACAATGCTGAGGAAACAAAACTGTTACCTGGAGTAGATGTGGTTTTGATTGAAGCTGTTTGCCATTTGTAAATGTTTCCCTGTCATTGACTGTGATCCTGAACCTGTTTGAGGTGAGATTACAGTGCTACCACTATTCCAGTTAACATAAGCTGTTTCTTTTTCTGAACCACTTCAGCTCAGTGACTTGTAGCATGGTGTTTAAGGTCCACATATACTTTATTAGTTTGAAAAAAAAGTTAAGCCAAGATAGTGTTTGGCTAATCTTTGATGTGTTGGCTTTCATATAACTTCATAAAGATAGCAATTTAGCAACCTGGTGTGAGAGGATTCCAGTTATCATTTTTGAAAAGTTACTTCTAATTAAATTCAGACAGATCTAGGAGACTCAGCATCTCATCCATCTCTCTTGCTAACGTTTTGCACTGTTATACTCCTCTTCCACTTTGGTGCAAAAGTGTTCCTTGTGGTGATAACCATCTACAAACGTAACCCTCTCATGACAATGGCAAAGTTGCATTGATCTTCTTTGCAGCACTTTGCCCTGCATGGGCACTGTGTTTCTGCTACACTGCACGTCACAAGTGTCTCCTCTTTGCTTTGGACAGAAGGCAGCTGCTTTTCTCCAAGTGAAAGCCTTCCTTCAGAAGCCGCTGAGTTCAGCTGAAGCCTGATTCAGAAAATTCTTGGAAATTTCTTCCTCGTCAGAGTGTGCTCTGCTTTGCTCTTTGACACAGTAATATTTAAAGTGTTTTCAATGTGAACACACTGCAGTATATCCTTCACATGTTTGGCAGCATCAAGAATGGGGAATGCACGTCTGCAGCCATGGGAGCTCTCACAGGAGCTTTCCATGAATTTAAGCCCCAGATGATGTGAAATTGGCCTTTGGATCTCCGGAAGTTGCACGAATGATAAATGTCTTTTCAGGCTGTTTAGGATCACGTTAACTGGATGTCTTTTTTTTTTTTTTTTTTTTTTTTGGTTGTTGCTTAATAGATATAAAAACCTTGCTTCAAATTTTCTGCGGAGTTGAACAGATTGATATTCACAGGGAAATGAAAAAGAACTTTTAAAAATCTTCTACCCTGCCTATAATATCAGTAGCAGCACATGTGTGAACAACTATTGTGTCACTGCCTCTGTGACATTCCACTTTCATTTTGGTGGACTTGGAGAAAATATTTATGGGGGAGAGGTATCTTAATGGGGGACTCCAATGAACTGTATGCACAGACCTCTGGCTCGTTCTGTACTGCATCAGCTGGTACTGGGGCTTGGTACTAGGTTTAGGGACTGAAACTGGGGTTGCAGAGGCAAGTACAACAGGAAATCTTTCCCAGCATTACAATTAATGCACTGATTTTTTTACATCTTCTCAGTTGATACTTCTTCCTTGTTTGCTTTCATCTTCCAGCCAAGATCAGTTATAATGATTATAACTCGCCTATTTAAATCCCCTTTGCTATTTAATTAGTTATTATATTTTTCTCATATTTATTCTTCAAGGCTAATGCTGCGATTTCTTCAGCAGCTGTTATGTCTCATTGCAGGCTGGCCTCTTCTCCTTAGTGAGGAGTATGAGTGTGATATATATTTTTGTACATGCTTTTTATGATCACAGTCTCTTGCAAATGGCTTTAAGTTCTATAGGGATTAAAGACAATACATAAATCTCTGATTATGGTTATTATGACTATTCTAGCAAGAGCTGGCTGAGGAACAACGATCTGACTTGCTACAGCCTTTAAGGTTTTGAAATTCCCTGTTGGAAGAGGATCAAACTTTCCGCTGTCTGTGAAGCAGAGCTGTTGAGACATCCATTTTCATATTCTCAAGGTCAAGCATTTCTTGAGATTTTTCTCTATAGCATCAGTTAAGACCTCATAAACCTACCCTAACTAAATGTAAGTTGTCTTCACTGAGCCTTGCGATTCTAATAATGTTCTATTGAATGAAATAGATTTAATAAAATGTGTTTTGATGGTTGCCAATGTTCATTTCCAGAGTTTCCCCATGGTGGAGAAAATAACATCTTATATGCTCATGCTGTGCTCTGATAAATGTGAACTTACTGTAGTTACTTTTAGTGCTTTTGAAACAGATTTAATATTTTTTGAAACAGCTTTTAAACTGAGATGGGATTAGTAAATAATTAATAAGAATTTGCATTTTGGCTGCATTCTTTAAGAGAGTTCAGTATTGGGCCAATTTGAACATCCTTCACCCTTGGTTTTGTGTCTTTCTTCAGTCATTCATGTGGCACTTACCTTGGATATCTTCAGCAACCAGAGAAAGCAGCTCTTTAAAATGTATGGAGACAGCCACCAGATCATGGCAATATGCAAAAAGCGTGGCGTTGTAACAGAATTATGGAGTGACCTCTGGGACAGTGGTGAGTTGGGAATCAATCTTTTGAAAACTGATTTTCCCTTTGTGTCCTCTGCAAAGCCAGCTGATCTCTCCTGCACAGTCCTCACCAAGATGCAGCAAGCGGTGCTTGGTTTGCTGTGAGGAAATGGGGCCAGTGTGCCCAGGCGGATGCAAACTGTGGTCTGCGTTGTGTCAGCGTGGTCCTGGGGCATTGCATGCAAAGACGTGTGAATCTCAGTCTTCCTCGCTGCTAGTGCTCCCAGATGCACAGTGCAAACCCATATGTGAAGTGCGGTAAAAAAATACCAACAATAGAGCTGTAAACATGAGTGAGCACTGCTTGGTTTGTAGGAGTTAGGGATTGACTCCCCTGTGTTAATTGACACCCCTTGGGTTAATCACTCATTTACTAGAATGAATGATCACCATTCAGTGCAGCATGTGCTGTGAAAAGAGTAACAAAAAAGACAAATATCTAAAACCTATTGTTATGCTAAGGTAGATAAGCATGCAAATAAGTCATCACAGATTGAAAAGCAGTCTGCTACCAGGATGTGTTTTTTAGGTGTTCTGTTTTTGGTTGTTTTTTTTTTTTTATAGTTCTCACTGAGCTAGGAGAAGGAATAAAAATAAAATCAGATCTTGAAACCAAATTTCAGCTTTCAGAAGAATGTGATTAGAATATTTGTTTATCCTCCCACCTCCAACGTGCCACTTCTCTAGGGGATTCAGCTATTGCAATCATAAGAATGATTTTAATTTGTGGGAAATGCATCTTCATTTTGCCATGCTTATAACTTGCTGGAGGGAGACGAGACCCCTTGCTATCAAGTACTTTAATGGGAAACTTCAGTTGATAGATTATTGGGAGAAGCACTTCGGTGTGATCTGTAGGAAATTAAAAACACCTCCACTATCAACAATGGTGTCATAGCCTTGAGGTAAATACTTATTGCTGTGTTCTTATCTATGATTGGAATCCTTGGAGTTGCTCATGCAAATGGAATGAGTGGAATTGTCAGCCTCTACCAGCTGTGATAAAGTGGTACATCTGGGGAAGGTACCTCTACCAATCACCTTACATTTCTTAATTCTTCATTGCTTCCATTAAAGAGCCCTAAACCAAAACCTTTAAATCAAAATAGCATTTGTCTAATGGGAAGGAAAAAAAAAAACTGAGATGACATGTTATCCTTCTATTTTACTGTAATTGTGCAGAACTAGTGCAAGTAAGAATGCAGTGGGTTCTTTACAACTTTTTCATCACAAAATGTATTCATCAAGAACATTTTTGATGGAAAGATGATCAAAACTACCAAGGAATGTAAAAAAGTGAAGGGGAAGAATATAAAGAAAAACAAACAGAATTAGTTTGCCTCAGGATTCTAGTTCACTAAATTTTAGTCTGTGACATTTTCCTTTGGCATGCAAATGAATATAACAAAATGCCTGTTTTAAAGTATCACAGCAGGGAGAAAAACATTCCTTGTCAGTGCCACTGTACAAGTAGTTTGGATCCTGTCGGGGAGTTGCCCGGGCTCTTCTCAGAGCGGGCCTTTCTGTCTATTCATTTGCCGTAGGGTCAGCCATAGACCTGTACTGGAAGACAGTTCCAGAGGCTGGTTTACAGCTTTGGCAGATGCTTGTTTTCTGGAATCTGCCCTAATCCTATAGAGCAGAAGCCAGCCTGTACACTTCTTCAGCAGAATTTCAGTTTCACAAAGCACCGACATTAGTATGAACTGCCTGAATGAGTGTGTGCAGTGTCCCTCATCTTAGTTGAAGAGGTGTTGGTTGCTTCAATCGAAGATAGCCTTGGAATAGCCCGAATTCTGGTTGGATGGGCTCTGGGTAGCCTGATCCTAGCGACTGGCAACCCTGCCCACAGCAGGGGGTTGGGACACGATGATCTTTAAAGTCCCTTCCAGCCCAAGCCATTCTGTCAATTTATGTGTGGGGCAGCGTGGTCAAATTCACAGCAGAATGCTCATTTTGAATCCCAGCATCTCATAGGCATAGTTAATTTGCCTTCTGCTATTTACAGCAGTGATTTTACTTCAAATGCAGCTGAAAAACTGCAAAAAGCTTTCTGTTCTCTTTCACGTAGAAGTCAAGAAAAATTCTTCTATCAATGCTTTCTGCATTGAACTGCTAGAGACTGAAACAAAAAGCTTTCAGTGCAGACATTGCCTTCATAGATTCACAGCAGGAATTTGTACAGTGTTTTACTTCTGCTTGACCCAAGTCTATGCTACTCATTTCTGGTTGAAATCAATACAATTATATTAGCAAATACTGTTCTGTGGAGTGCTTGTGAGGGTGTGTGAGTACAGGGCTCAATACCAGAGAAATGTGTACAGACATTTCCATGGTATTAAAAATGTTACATTTCATCTTAAGATTTAAGTTCATGGAACATAGGTCTAAGCTCTGCTAGGGTATCTGGTTAACGTATGCATCTGCATTTAGATTGTACAGACGAGGAATACTGGCCTAAGTAGGACCTGTTCTTTGTCACTTGCTTTAAAGAAATGCAGAGCTTTACTCTGGTAATGACACCTGATTCTTTTTCTTACACCTTGCTTGGGTTAATTATTTTGAGACTCTTGAATTTGATGTGCTCTGCCAAACCTTAACCAGGGCAGCAACAGAGACCACATGCTCAACAAAGCAAAGATGGCTTTCTTACACTCTCTGCTTTCTCATATCATCTGTGCTCAACTGAACATCATAATTTTGATGGTAGCAGGAACATCGGTTTGAAATCTAATTCCTTTCAGTTCTTTGGTCTTTTTCAGATGCGCTCAATGGGTGGTAGGGATTCTCTGATTTAATCTTCCTGTTCTTGAGTGGCCTTCTGCAATGTGAGTTCTTAGGAAGGAAATGTATTTTCAGACGTTACTAAGTGACACCTAAGAGTCTCTCTCTTGGTGAAGAACAAAGGTGTCCTGGGAAACCAGTCTGACTGGGAGAACGGAAATTTTCCTAATGTGTTAGACTTCCTTTTGTGAGCTGGGGTCTGGTGAAATTAGCACACAAATCTGCAAGCCTTCCACCTAAAATCCAAATGATCTCAGTACTGTATAGGTAACTGCCTTCGCCTATTCTTGATGTATTATGGTACATAACATGGGGTGCCCAGCCCACACCTCACACAAGCTTGGGGCTTGGTGCAGGAATTATGGTGTGAGTTGCTGCATAGGTGGAATGCTGAGTGCCTGGATGCTAGTTTAGCATGGTTTAGAGGTGACTGTGTGGAGATGGAGGAGGAGCCTTCTGAAGTGTAGAAGGCTGCTGAAAAAGAAAGGGAAGTAATTGTGAACAGAGTGAGGGAGGCATGGTGGGCTTAAATTGTATTGGGGTAGCAGTTTGGGTTGTTAGGAAATCTTTCCAGTGGGCAGCCTAGCAAAGCTCTGGAATAGACTAGAGACAGTTCTATCAGGGAAGATTTTTATGCAACAGTGGTTTAGGAATAACTCATTCAGCTTTTGAGTAAAAGGATGGAAAGTTTGGACTCAGCAGCCTCAAGAGATAGTGCTTTTGCCTTTGTTTTTCCCAACCGAAAATTCCTTCTAGAAACTCAGTGAGACACAGGAGATTCCATTTTCCTGCACCAAAGCATGTGATCAATACAATGCACATATCATACAGGATGGGGAAGTCAGCTCCTGCTAAATGCAGAAGTCGGGAGATACTTTCTGAAGTGTTTCCACCTTACTGCATCCCATCCAAATCTGATTTGTGCCATCTGTGGCAAACAGGCTATTGGCAGCTCTCTGTTAAATGGCCTTCAAGGCTAATTCAGGCCCTGTTTTAGATTATTCTAGTCTTGCTGCCTTCATGTCTGTAGATTGGCTGCTACTGTGTATGTAAAAGTATTATACTTCTCCCTGCTTAAGAGCAAGCTTGTGCATTCTCTCTAAAAGTTCATGAATTCTGTTCTTTCCTGTTGATGTTGGCAAGTATCTATCAGAAAGCGCACTCTGTGTTTTCATTGTGGCCATCTGTCCTGGTATTAGCAAAAATGATTGCATAATGCAAACAACAGAATCCTTTGAGAGAGGGGGAGAAAGAAAGATACACAAGTCATGTGGCTGACATGTACCGCAGTGATCCAAATAATTATGGAATCAGAAATAATAATAATGTATTAGATTTCTCAAAGGAAAAATGATTATTCTTCTGAGGAACTATTAAAAACACAATATACAATAAAAGCACCCAACTGTAATACAAACGAGTGCCTGAGGCTCCAGAGCACTCATAAAACAAAGCTGTCACTGTGCATCTTTACAGCAAGAAACATAATTAAAACACCTTTCCTGACAAGGTAAGTCACTCTTCTTTTTGAGTGACTCTCACATGGCTCACCTCTAAGGGTGATCTGCTCTTGCTTGACACTGGATGGTCAAAGATCCAGCAGGTCCTTGCTCCTGTACTTTTTGCAGTGCATTTGAGGAAGCATCTGTAGGCACTGATTTTAAGTGGTCTTTATTTCAATGGCACAGATGGGAAATTTGGTTTATTTGTCATGATTACTGAGCTGATGAGTCATACACGTTGCTTGAAAGAAGGTAAAGTTTTGTTGTGGTGGGGAGTCTCAGCAAGCACTGAGTCCAATCGAGCTGGTGGGAGAAGATGCAGAAATCTGCAAGTAAAAGTTCAGCTGCCCAGGGAAGTTTTTTTGTTTGTTTAAGCAAAATTTGCAGCCATCCTCTGTTATTTCATGAAGTAACTTCAGGTTATTTGATTTTCTCACTTCAGCACCATTGGCACAAGCAAGCGTTGTTTCTGGGGTTGTCTGAGCGCTGGACTGGGGTTTGACTTTGGGTGACTTTTCTAGAACTTGAGTATTGTGAAAACTTTTGTAAGGAACGCATCATCTTCACAGCCTTTCACTAGTTCTGTTTATGATTTTATCCCAGAATTAGTTATTTTAATGCCAAAATATTTAGTTATGATATTTATAACAAAGATAACTTACTGTCTTTGGTAGCAAGTGGTGTTTTGTTTTTTTTTTTTCCAAACTGTTTGTCTAATTCTGTCTCTTGACTTGATAATGAATCGGATGAGATCCGTCTATTGTCAGAGGCAGAGACAGAGAAAGGGCAGCTATGATAACTACCTTCTTTGATCTTCATATGCCACGCTTGAAGAAGAGCACACAAAGACTATACCTTTATGCTTTCAGTAATTTACAATAACCAACATTAGGTTTATTATGCTGGCCAGTAAAATGTAATTTATTTTATTCTCTCAGAGAGAGACTCTCAGCATATGATGTGTTATGGTTACTGGATAAGAGGATCAGCGGCTGGTGTGATTTATATGCACTCCCCCTAACATTTTGCCATTTTTTTCCCGTATATGGGAACCGTGAGGATAAAGAGGGAAGATTTGAAAACTAAAGAATACACTTTTGATCTCCAGGGAAACAAGCTTTCAGATAAAAGACTCCTTGCTGCCCCTTTACCAGCACAAGTGAGACTGGAAAAGGGACTCCTCCCAGAGAAGATGGATGGATCTTATGGTAGCAAACATTTAGTCTTAGATGACATGTTGTGCTAGCTTTGGTTCCCTGTGAAACAGCAGGGCAATATGCTTTTTCCTTTCTAGGCAGAACTGCTTCTCAAGGCAGCAGTCAGGTCTTGTTGTGAGTGCGGTGTTCATGGTGGGTTCTGCAGGAGGCCAGAAGCCCGCTGGCTGCTGAGGTTGGTGTGAGGCTGGACAGTATGAGCTCCAGGGGACGATAACTCTTCTGGCCATTTGTTCTCTGCTTTGTTTTCTTAAAGGCTCTGCAAGAACTTGGAAGGAGGAATAAGTAAGATATTAAGGACAAGAACACAGTGGTGGATAGCCCGAATCCACAGTGGTGGATGGCCTTTTTGTAGGTTTCAAGGTACTTTACTACACTGCTGTTATTGTTGCAATAATGAGAATATTCCCAGTGTTAAGGAGCCTTTCCTTATGGCAAAATAGAAAAGCCTGGTTTCTTCATCTTTCT